GCTTAAACTGCCTTTCAAACATCCCCCTCAGTGAAGGGACTGCAGAGCTTGCCACAGCTGCAGGAGGAAGAGAAGCCCCTCATCCTGCAGCAAGGGGGACGCGGGGAGGCCTGGCTGGCGGCCAGCGGCCTCAGTGTGCAGTGGGCAGGGGCCCTGCCTGGGTCACTGTGGCCTGCAGCATCCCAGGGAGTGGGACGGGGCTCTTCATCACCTGGGGTATGACACCGAGGTCGGACGCGGTCTGGTTTCCCCCGGGAGCCTGTGCGGTGGTGGAAAGCCGGCTCACGTCTACCCCGAGGTCCCGGGCCTACCATCCTCGCACCCGCACTGACCGCAGCTCAGAAGTCGTCCACAGCCAAGCTCCAGTATCTGGTCTCCAGAGGAGCCTCCCCCAGTGTCCCACCACCCAACACCACCATGTGGCAAGGGCAGAGTGGCTGGGAGGTCAAAGTGCACCACTGGACTCTCTTTCAGTTTTCTAAAGGAGAAGAAGAGAGGCCGAGAGCAGGAAGAGGACACCTCCCAGCTGGAACCAGCGGCTCTGTGCCCACGGAGCTTCCTGTGACCCACAGGAGAACAGCAGTGTCACCGGAGGAACCTTGGGAAATACAGCAAGGCCAAAAGAAGACAGAGTGGACCTGACCCCCGCACAGGGTGGACCTGACCCCAGTATAGGGTGGACCTGACCCCCGCACAGGGTGGACCTGACCCCAGCACAGGGTGGACTTGACCCCAGCACAGAGTGGACGTGACCCCGCACAAGGTGGACCTGACCCCACACAGAGTGGACCTGACCCCAGCACAGGGTGGATGTGACCCCCACACAGAGTGGATATGACCCTGAACAGGGTGGAAGTGACCCTGCACAGAGTGGACCTGACCCCGCACAGAGTGGATGTGATCCCCACACAGAGTGGACCTGACCCTGCACACAGTGGACGTGACCCCAGCACAGAGTGGACGTGACCCTGCACAGGGTGGACCTGACCCCAGCACAGAGTGGACCTGACCCTGCACACAGTGGATGTGACCCCTGCACAGGGTGGACCTGACCCTGCACACAGTGGACGTGACCCCAGCACAGAGTGGACATGACCCCACACACAGTGGACGTGACCCCCGTACAGGGGCAGCCTTGAGCTCTGCGGGGACGCTGCTCAGGTGCCACCTTGGAGGATGGACGGGCCCTGGGCACACCGTGGCCTTTCCTGCTGTGGCCACATTCTGCAGGTGGTGCTGGCCTCTGCGGCCTCTCCAGGGGCTGCTGAGCATTAAGGATGGCTGGACACTTCTCCTGGGCCACCTTGTGGAGTGGCCTGCAAGACCGTCCTTTGGATTTACCAAGATTGTCTGATCCTCTCTGTCCACACGTGGAGGTGGCTCTTTTTTTTCTTTCCCCTGTAGAAAGGCCACTAAAAGGACGACATAATGTGTCCATGTCAAGACCTCTTTGAACTCTCATCCTTGCTTTGAAGATTTCATTTTGTTGCTTTGAAGATTTTGTTCTGTTTTATGAACTTTATATCCAAAGTGTGTTGAATCCACATCAGCGACTTCTCTTCTTGGAATAATTGGATATTTTCATAAATATTCTAGTGGTACTTACTTAAACTCATCCTTTTACTTTAATCACTTTTGGTACTGGGGATTAAACCCAGGGGAACTTTCCAACTGAGCCACGTCTCCACCTGTTATTTATTTTCTGAGACAGGGTCTCACTAAGTTACCCAAGCTGGCCTTGACCTTGTGATCCTCCTGCCTCAGCCTCCAGAGTCTCTGAGATGAGAGGCATGTGCCACCATGCCCAGAGACTCATCCTCTTACCACACTGCTCTTATCACTGTCCATATTACTAGCTGCCACATCTTCCATACGTTTGCACTCTCAGTTCGGCATCCGAATCATCCACCTGTGGTGTGTTCACAAAGCTTTTAGGGAATGTGTGTGTGCACAGGTGCTGTGTGTGCAGGGTGAGGGTCTGAATCGGAAAATGTCTCTGTGCCAGGCTTCGTAGGAGGTGTCTTCAGTCACAAAAAAATCTAATAGTTTWAAATTTTCAGAAGTTCCCCAGAGATTAAGGAACGCCTCAGGTGGTGATTTCTACTTAAAACACTGGTGCAAATGGCTGATTCTGAACAGCCAGCCCCTGCTCTCACTGTGGGACTCCCGAGGTGTTTGCTGCGTGCTCCTAAGTCCTGTGTGGCGTTTCTCCCCAGGTGTGGAGGCAGGTGTGGATGTGCTGGGTCATTTTGGCCGACTCAGTACTTAGCCTTTGTCATCGCCGTCACGTAAACACTTGGCACAGTTAGAGCTTACGAGGCGCAGAGCGCAGCGGAGCCGGCACGTGGGTAGAGGGCAGCCCTCCCCTGCGTCTGTTGGCGGGTGTCGGCTCTTTCCCTGGGGCTCACTGGGTTCTGGGGAGCAGCTGCGGGGTCTGGGCCTGGCGTCTCTCCGTGTGCCACGGTGGGCAGCAGCCCCTTGTCTGTCAGGAGCCCCAGGGTGGGGTTCTGCTTAGGAGGCAGCAGTTTGCAGGTGGGGGGTCTCGAGCAGATGGACAGGGTATCCCCTTGTTGAGGGCCACAGCCGAGTCGGGATGACGCATGGCGTTTTTGCCGGAAGTAGTGGTTGAGAGGTGACGCCAGCGAGCCAGGACGATGATGACTTTTGAGTTCTCGCGGAGTTCCCGTGGAGTTCCCTTGCGCTCTCGCGGGGATTCCTGAAGAGTTCGCGTGGGTGGGGGAAGTTCCGGTGGTGGGAGTTCCGGTGGGTGTGTGGTGTGTCCCGGAGAAGCCGCGTGCGTGCGTGGGAGTTTGGAAATGAAGTTCGTTCCTGCTTGAGTGGCTCGTGATTTGTGCCCAGCCAGACTGCGGCATCCCCTTCCAAGGCCCGTCTTCCCTGGATTGTCCACCTGCATGGGGGACTCCAAGAAGCTTGCTTCTAGTACTGGCCCCCTTCAAGGGGCAGCGGGAACTCCCGGCCATGAGAGTCGCTGCCCTCAATGCCCGTCGGGACTAAAAGGCTCCAGCCGGCTTCGTGGTCTCCCCAGTGAGCCTCAGTGACCTGGGAACACGTCTAATGAGGCCCACGGGCTTCCCTCCTGCTCTTCCTTAGCACAGGTGAGTAGGACAACAGGGTCCCAACACCAGGCCCAAATAGGACCTGGGGAGTCCTTAGCCCTGTTCTGTCATCGAGAGAGGGGACCAGGTACGTCCACCAGCAGAGCCAGTCAGTCTGTGGTGACCCCCGTCCACATCAGGGCCACCAGCCTCTTGCTCCTCCTGCTCATTTTCTATTCTATAAACTTGGCATATCTCAGTGACTCCACCCCTGACCAGGACCAGCCCCCACCGTGCTGGGTGAGTGGCCACCACTTTATAAAGGGCAGCAAGGAGTCACGGGAGCCCAGAGGGGGCCAGCAGAGGCCCTGGGGCAGCTGGCTCTCTGGCTGGGAGCACAGCAGTACCTCCCAGGAGCCAGYGAGAGGCCATGCTGCCAGGTGATGCTGGGTGCACCCGAGGCAGGACCCCAGGGGCCCAGTRTCCTGGTAGCAGGCACACCTGCCCTGCTCCTTGGGGTGGGCAGATGTGCGGTGGCYATGCTGAGATCATGTGACCATGACTGCTCAGTGTCAGCAGCCTGTGAGGCCTGACATTTGGGCTCTTCGCAGGGACTTGTGGGGACACTGCGGCAGGGGTAGGCCTGTCCCACGGCACCACGCCCCGACACTGCCCTTTCCCTAAGCACCGGTTCTTTTTAAGATTCTCATTTTGGAGACACTTAAATGTATTTGGAGACCCTTGGGCAGCACTCATGTGGATGTCACTGATAAGGGACTTCTGTCCTGGTGGACAGCAGGGGACGCGACCTCCGTCTCTGTCTATGTCTCCTGCTGGCTGCTTGTGCTTTAGTCCGTGTGGATCTGGAAGATCGTCCAATGGCCAACAGTCAAACTAAAAAGTGGACATTCGTTTGCTCTGCGATGTGTCAGATCCAGAGGTCAGGAGTTTGGGGCCTCCCCATGGCTGGGGTGGCAGAGTTCCCAACAGTGACCTGCAGCCTTCGCCCGGTGCTGGCTGGGTGGGGCTGGGGTGTGAGGCCGCTTCCTGAAGACTGGAGTCACTCTGGAGAGAAGACGCTCCGGAAGAAGCCAAAGCAAGAAGCCAACAACTCAGTCGGTCGGGAAGGAACCCAGGGCACTGGACAGCGGGAGGGCCTTGAGGCTACTGAGAAGGAGGTGCTGAGGCCACTCTGTGCCTGTCCTCTGGGGACTGCCCGCTGGGCCTGGCCCGAGGAGTAACCCTGCTGCTCCTTCCACCCTCCGGCTCCTGCACACGTGACATGGCTGCTTCTGGTCACCGGTCTCCTTCCAGCTGGACCAGGGGCTCCTAGAGGGCAGAGTGCTCAGCTGTGGTGCCACAGGGTRAGACGAATGGGCGTGAAGGTGACAGAGACAAGGAACATGGGGGCAGATCCAGGGACGAGGGGGCAGACCCAGGGACACAAGCAACCTGAGGGCAGACTTTCCACAGGACTCCTGGAGACGGAGCGGGAGGCGGGTGCACTGCTGGGGAGGGTCACCTTGGCCTTCTTCTCGACCTTGCTTCAGGGTCAACAGCCGGGCTCTCATCCAGGGGGTCTGCAGTGGTGAAGTCCCTTATCTCTGAGGCTGGGCAGACTGCCCCCCGCTGTGTGGGTGTGGGATGCACATCATCAGCTCCAGGAGGGCGCAGGGGGTGGTCTGGGAGGTCTCAGGTGGGGAGAACCAGGCAGGAAGCCCCCTGCCCCACACAGTGCTGCCCGAGGACCGCCCACTGTGTCCTGCACGTGAGGAAAGCTCCAAGGAGGCACATGTTCCCAAGTGTCACTTGATTTAATCCTTCACCACCATTGGCATGTCCTTGTACACGGTGACGTAAGCTGTAAGCAGCGGGCTCAGGAAACAAGTCAATACTCAAGCATTTGTTGACGAGCGGGTTTTATTTTTAGCAGAGAAGCTGGCCGTGTGGGAAGCCACATGGAGGAGGCTGAGCTGTGACGGGAGCCACCTCATCTGCCAGCTGCAGAAGTGCCGTGACTACCGAGAGGAACCCCAGGTGGCTGTGGGGGGCGGGGCTCTCCCTGGAAGGGTCTCAGTGCCCAGGAGGAAAGCTCTCCGTCTAACGTGGTAGGAGCGGATGGGTCTTTCCATCTCCCGTTGTCCAGCCAGCCCAGCGGTCCACATCCCCAGAGGGTTCGCCAATCTCCAGCCCTTGGAGATCTCGGAGGTCTCCACCTTCTGAAATCCATGCTGTACAGAATTCTTTCCCCTGTGAACAGAGACCCACAGGTATCAGGAAAGCTCCCAGGAGGGACCAGAGGAGGGGCCAGGGCTGTCTGGAGGACAGGGTCTGACCTTAGTGGCCTTCCTCAGCCTGAACCAGGCTGGTGGGTGAGSCAGAGACCTTTGGTTTAAGGGCTCTTTCCAGTGGCCCTCTGGGGCAGTGGGTGGGCCTCCACTAGCCTAGGTGGGCAGGGCATGGCTTTGCACAGCCCAGGGAGCCGGTTACGCTGGGTTCCGGGTCACAAGTACCCTGTAAACCTGTGCAGGACAGCAGCCCTGCCCTGGGCAGGGTTGGAGTGAGGAGGTGGAGTTGTGATGGAGCCAGGGGGCCTTTGGGGCAGGGCCTCTGAGACTGGCCTCCTTTTCCTGGTTGTACTGGGCCTGGTTTGCTCCCTTAAGGCAGCCTTAGGAGAGCCACTGGCCATTCCCTCRCTGTGCATGATGGACAGTGCACAGAGGGCTCTGGTGGCTTGTATGTCCTTGCTATGGGGATGTGGACAATGTGTCTGTCCAGTGTGTCTGTCCTCTGTGACCCTCCCAGAAATGAGTCTGGACATTGTGAGGAGAGGTTCTGGGATTGCCTAGAACAGGAAATTRTTAGGAAGCCCTGGCCAGCTGGCCTGCCACTTTCCTCCTGTAGCTCCAACCCTGGACACACACTGGACCTTCTCATCTCCACATCCATCCCCACCCCTGCAGCCCCTGTCACCCCCTATCCAGGGGCCTACACTCACACCCCCTGCTGGCTCCAGACCCGCTTCCCTTCACCCTCCCGTCCACTCTCACCAGCTCCCGAGGTCCCACCCACAGCTCTKCCCGGGGCCCAGTGGGAACCCACCACACGAGTCAGGCCTGGCCCTTCTCCCTATGGGTACCCCTGGAGAGCTAGAACACAGTGGACATAGCCAWTGGGGCCACCCACTGCTTTCCAACGTCCCCTGGGTGCCACTACCCACTTGCCAACTTGATGCTGGTGACCATGTCCTCTGGCTATTCTGGACCATGCTCTCTTCTCAGGTCTTGCTTCATCTCTTCCTGAGCACCCGCCTCTGAGCAGAGCATGTTGGACTAATGATCGGCTGAATTCCAGCAGTTTCCTGGGATTTGCCTCAAGTTTGCAGCTGGACACAGGTGGGTCCTCAGAGCATCCGTCGCCGGCCATCCGGGTGGGCTGTGCACTTTAGGGGCTTGTTTCAAAAAAATCTTCCCTGTTGTCAGATGTGGATTCTGTTCTATGCTTTATTTTAGAAATTTTAAGGTTTGCTTCTTACTTTTAGTGAGTCCACCCCTTTGGAATTTACATTTTTCAGAACTACAGTGATGCTTTGGTGAAGAGTATGAAGACGTTGTATAGTGCACCCAGTCCCCATCCACAGGGGAGTGGCATCTTGGTGCCTGCCATCTCACACGGAGAAGGCTCTGTTTCTGGCTCTCTTTTCTGTCCTACCATCTTCTCCCTTAGACCTCCTAAGGCACCATTTGGCTTTCTGTAGTTTCAGTTACCTATGATCCACTGCTGTCTAAGAGTTCATAAATTGTAAACCCTGTGCCTTTCTGAACTCCACACCACCCTGCTTGACTCTCCTGGAATGTGAATTACCCTTTGTCCCGTGTGTCCATGCTGTCTATGTAGCCCGCCTGTTAGTCACTTAGTAGCATCTTGGTTATCAGATGGACATGGTGTGCAGTGCCTGTGATCAAGTATTAACTTAATAAAGCATAACGGTTGTGATACTGGCAATTTGTAACAGTATTTTTGTAGTCACTCTATGTTGTTATTAGTTGTTAATCTCTTACTGTGCCTAATTAATAAATCAAACTTTATCATAAGTATCTATGTATAGGAAATAAACATGGTGTATGCACAGGGCTCAGTGCTATCTGTGGTCTCGGGTCCATTGGAAGTCTTGGAACATATCTCTTGTGGATAATGGGCGCAACCACACTGCAATCTTATTATGTCTGTCCATTTTAAATGCTCTATCACTGTTTTTCTAAACCACAAAAGTATAAGGTACAGACTTTATGATATTTCATCTAATGATTTTAGTAATCATCAACTGAGAATAAGGGCATTCTTCTATGGAACCAGAGTTGGGAAATTTACTTTGATAAGACTAGTACCTATTGTACTATATATATGTAAATTGTATCAGCTGTCTCATAAGACCCTCCACAACTGCTTGTGTTGTTGTTGATTTAGGATACAATCAAGGATAACATGTTGCACTTGGTTGTCACTCTTCAATCTCCTTTAATTAAGAACAGATCCTCAATCCCTTTTTGGCTTTTTGGGATCTTTTTTGAAGAATCCAGGCATAATGTGGCAGGGGGCATAACCTCCAATTTGGATTTTTAAGGAGAACACATTAATATATCCCTATTAGAATATCTCTTGAAGGTTCTTGTTGCATACATATAATAGATTAAGAAATTACCTTCTCTTCCTTTAGTCATTGATGGATATTTAATATCAAATGCATGGTTTTTGCATTCATTCAGATCACCACAGGGTTTTTCTTGGCTTGTTTCCATGGTGAGTTGCGATTTAGTCCTGGATTTTCTAATGTTAAACCATCCTTGCATTCCCAGGACACATCCAACTTGGTCATGACTTACATTTTTTTCCTGTGCATTGTAGGATTATATTTGCTAGTATTTTATCTAGAATAGTTGAGTCTGTGTTTGTAGTTTTCCTTCTGCCCTATCTTGTTTAGCTACCTACCGTCCTACCACAGGAATGCTTGCCTCATGAAGGGGGATAGTTTTCCCTGGTATTCTGCTCCTTGGAGCACACTGGTAAAAATAGAAGCTTTGGTAATCAAAAATTGTAAATCATCCACCACACACAAGATTTTAAATACATGAGCTCAAATTGTTCATTTATTTTTGCTTTTTAATCACTACTGATTAGTTTCATTCTTCTTTTTAATATTTTTATTAATGTTTTATTTCCTGAGAATAAACTTTTTAATTAGTCATTTGTAAAGAATCAGCTTTTGATTTCTGCTTCCCCTTCTTGCTTACTTAATTACTRTTTCAGTGATTTCAACTTTTTTTTATTGTCTTTTTCCCCCACAGATTCATTTTCCTAACTATTTAATTCTTACCTCATTAATTAAAAATCTTGTTTGTTTTTAAATATGTGTGTATATTTACTGTTTTAAATTTCCTGTGATACACCCTGCATCTGCCTTCTACAGACTTCTATGTAGAGTTCTTCCTTGTCATTCGGTTCTCATTGTTTATAATCTCCATTACAATTCCTTCCAGCCCCATGAATTATTTAAGTGTTATGTAGTTTCCAAATGTATGGGTGCATTTTAGCTGACTCCAAAGCTTTCTAAATTCTTTGTCAGCTGCTTGTTTTCTAATCTTGGGAATTTTGCAAGACTTCCTTTGTGAATCACTCCACATGTGCCTGATTTAAAAGCATACATGTGTGTTCAAAAAGAATGYGTCCTCTGTATTAGTAGGAGCATGGGACATACAGTAATATATACCGAGGTCTGTCTGCTATGGTGTTTCAATATTTTTTTATTCTTACCGATATTTTGAAGCTTAATTCCTCTTTAGCAGGAGAAGTGGAGCAGTTTCTGACTCTGGATCTGCCGACGTCTTGCAGTCCTGCCAACTTTTTGTCTCKTGTGTTGGGATGATGTTGAGAGATGTGTGTGGGTCGAGCATTACTGACCTTCCTGGAGAGTTATTGCTTTTATCATATAAAATAGTCTTTTTCATCCCTAACAATACTTTTGCCTTAAAATCTGTGTTTTTCTAACATTTATAAGACATCCAACTTTCTTTTCTTTAGCAACTGACTGTATCTTTTCCTGTCTCTTTGCTTTCGGCCTGTTTCCAGGTGCATGGTGGGGGCACTGGTGACAGTGTGCAATGAGCACGTTTCTGCGGAGGTGAAAGTGGGCTTACGTTTGCCCCTTCCCTCTGGAGGCCTATGTTCTCATGTTTCCCCTGGGCTGTGCCTCAGGGGCCCATCCAGCTGCGGCTGCTCCCTCCTTCCTACCTCAGGGTCTGTGGCTCAAGCCCCTTAGTCCTCCAGCTGGTCCTCTGGCAGGACCTGAAGAGGATCGGCCAGGTTCTCTGAGGGCACAGYCAAATCCCTCCTCTTTGTGGAGGAGTGTGGTCCTTCCCCGTCTCTCTTGGGGGGTGGTGAGCTGTAAGCACCACCGTCACCAAAGACACCTCCCAAACCCCATGCCCCCTCCTCTTTCAGCTCTGCTGCKTTGTGAGTGTGTGTAGGCTTAAAGCTCCAGGCTGGCTCTCAACCATTTCCTTTGTGAATCTGGCACTTCATTTAGGATTTTCACATTGATTTCAATTGAGGTCAAAACTAGAATTTTAGGATCTGTGGTAGTTAAAARAAATCTGTCTTTAGAAATGTAAATCTAATTCATTTACATTTATTGTGTTTATTGATGCATTTGGGCTTGTTTTTTTTTTTTTTACATGCTTTTTGGTTTTATTTTCTATATACTATCATTTTCCTTGTTGTTTTTTCTTCCCTGACTTGGCTGGACTGGAAGTTTTCCTTATTTCCTTGCTCAACCTTTTGAAAGCTAAGTATTCTTTATTGGCATTTTAAGTGGTCACCTATAGCATTTAACAAGTGACTTACTCTATATTTTTCACAAACAAAATAGGAATCTAGGAAGACTTTAATTTTCCTCTGAAATTCCTGCTTCTTTTTCTCCCATGTTATTAATCAGAATTTTAATACCTGTTATTTTTAAAAATAATTTGTTGCTCATCATCATTATTTTTTTATAATGAAGATATAACCTGGGTTGTTTATAATATTTAAAGTTCAATACTGAATAACATTTTTAATTATTTGTTCACTGAACTTTATTACACTCCTTTGTTGTTTTGGGGGATTCATTTTTCTTTATGTTAAAGTTCATTCTTCAGAAGTTAATGCAAGGGTCTAGACAGTGGAAATCAGACTCGTATTCACATTAGAAAACTTCCAAACCCTAGGCTCACTTCAGTTAGACCCCAGGGACCCACCTCCTCTAGCCACACCCCACCTGCCTGCATTTACCCCCCAGTTGATCCCTACCCGGGGATCAACACACTTACTAGGTTGAGGCTCTAGACTTGCTGCAGTGGCTCACACTCGGGCTCTGGGAGAACACCCGTATTTAAACCATGAAACCCCATCTTTGGGGTGAGTGCAGACCTCACCACTGAATGAGGCTCCCTAGGCGACCCCACACATGGACACGTGGGGACTGCTGTCCTTTCACAGTGAACACTCCCRTCTCTGCGGGTTTAAATATGTCTACAGCAACTGACTTGAGCAGAGGATTCCAAGCTGATGGTTCTTTCCTCAGCATTTTGAGTCTGTTACGGAAAGACTTTGGCATATTCACGTTGACAAAGCCTCTGCTGCTGGTCTTTGGTTTCCTTCAGGTTTTGTGAATGTTTTGCCTTTCCCTGGTGCTTCTCATCACGTGTCTTTTCTGGAGGCTTCTCATCTCTCTGTGAGCTTCAGCTTGAGCCCTCATTTTTCAATTAGGGTGATTTTCTGCTGTTATCTCTTAAACGCTCCCATATCGCATTTCCTTTACTCTCTCCTTCCAGAACTCCTCTTATATGCCTCTTAAAGACATCCAACCAATCTTTCATGTTTCATCGTTCTATGCTGCGTTCTGGGTGATATCCTTAGATCTATGTTCTAATTCATTGATTCTCTCTTCATTTATGTCTAGTATACAGTTTAAGCCACCTACGGATTTTTTTTTTTGATGATTATTTATTTCAGTAACTGTGCCAGGATTTCCAAATGGATCTTTCTTAAACCTGAAATTTCTGTTCCACATAATARTTGCTATTCATTCTGTTGCCGTGAAGTCCAACAACTTAATTTTAGAATTCTTTTTAAGTCATTCCATTTTCTTCTTATATCAATAAGTAAGAATTCTCCAATGAGTGGTTCTATTAATTACCTATGGCAATAGATTTTGTTAAGTGTTTTATACTTTTATTTAAAAGTTTACTATGCCTGGGACCCAGGTCCTGGAGCAAAATTGTGTTTAATTGTGTAACTACAGATAGCTGTGAGCAAGCCCCAGAAAAAGATAAAGGTTAATATCCAACAACTTTATTAAAAGCAGAGCTTACACAGGTGTATAAAGAAAAAAGTGAGTCCCAGGAAATTCAAAACAGGAGTTTCAGAGAGTGTTTCATAACCTGATTATTCAACCTCAAATGTAGTGAAGAAGTGCGAAGTAAACTAAGATAACAATATCATCTTCACTCATAAAGTTACAAGAACTCAAGAGATGTTAATGTTTAGTGAGACAGGCTTTCTTGCACTGCGGCAGGAAGGCAACTTTCCGGCAGTGTGGGACGGTGCAATGATGATGTCACAAGCCGACTCGGCGTTCCCCAAGTGCTGGTCTGTGTACGTCACAGGTGTGAAACACGTGCAGAGACCAAGATTGCTGTATCTCCATGTATTTATACATGGATGGTTAATTACATTACCATACATTTTTATTCCAAAGAGTTTTATTGAAGGAGGAAAAAGTTCCCAAATACAGAATTTTAAAGCAAAACAAATGGAATGTTAACAAGGCAAGAATGTGCCCAGAGCATCATCTGGACAGAGCTACATGCACACGTCAAGAGCCACCTCTCTGATGGTGAGACTGGGGGAAATCATTTTTTTATGTCTCTTTGTACTTTCATGTA